CCATGCGTCGACGGGTTGGGTTTGGTGGTGCGGTTGATCGGCAGGGGCGGACCAGGGCGGGAGTAGGCCACCTTACTCTTCTTCTGAGGAGGAGGTGGGACCGGACGATCGACACCCTTATGCTTCTTGGAAGCGGGGATGCGAGGAGGGAAGGCCGGACGACCAAGGTCGTCCAATGCCTGCATGAGGACGTACCTCAGGGATGGTCGATCTATGTTGAAGGTCACCTCCATCGTCCGCGCCTACGACGGTTTGTCGTTGGTCACCCCCGCTGTTGCCAGTCTGTCTGATCTGGACATACTGCGTAACTTTATCCGCGAAAGCCTCCCAATGGGTACCCCGTTTGAGGTTGCGCTCCCATCATCAACATCTTTTATAAAGATACTCGATGTTCCCTACTTCGATCCGAAAGGGCTGAAGATCACCCAGGAGGCACTTGAAAAGGCTCTCCGTACCTCGGTTCATGCTGAGGTTTTCGCATATCTGAGCACCAAGCCTCGGATCGACCGCAACTCGGCGCACTCGACATCGTGCACCGTGTACTGCAACATCTGGGACTCCCAGCAGGGAACCCGCGCCAAGAAGGCCCTCGGCCAACCGATCTTCCTCACTGGACGGTCCTGCGCAATCAGGCCGGCCGCACGACACACCAGGGTCCCGCTATGCCAGCGCTGCTGGAAGTGGGGCCACCCCACCGTCACCTGCAAGGCGAAACAACTCTCTTGCCCCATCTGCTCAGGCCCACACGAGCAGAAGGAGCACCGTCAACATGCGGGATGTTGCAAGGGCAACGCGAAAGCGAAGCCTCCTGTGCTGCCCACCCCTCACGACCAGCCCTGCCTCCATAAGGGCTGCTGTGTCAACTGCCACAAGGACCACGCCGCCAACTCGGCTTCGTGCAAGTTCTGGGCTCATCGCTACGACCGTGAGTGGATCATGGCCGAGTATCGTCAGGTACGTGAGCATGCTGCTCGCCGCCAACTTACTAACCCCCGAACCTAGACTAATGTTGGGAAACCTTCAGGATCTAAGTAGTGGGCTTCGTATTTTTTGTCAGAACGTTCGTCATACATATGCACACGTAGACACCCTCCTCGAAATTTGTAAAAACAGATTTGATATTTTATTTTTCCAAGAAACCCCTTGGAATTTCATAAGGCACGCACCGTCCACCACTAGTATGGAGGGCGATGAGGTTATCGGCGCACCAAAGCATCCCGACTGGCTGCAAATGGTGCGCATTAAGGAAGGGGAGGTTCCCCGCGTGATCGCCTACGTTTCGACTAGGTTATCCCGCTATCGTCCTGCTATGCGTCGCGACATCGTCGACCATTGCAACATCCTCGTCCTCTCCCTCTTCAGCGGGGGTGAGGTTCTTAATCTAATGAACGTCTACTCTGACGATCAACACACAGCCATTGAGCACCTTGCTGCTCGTGTGCATTCTCTTCCGCCTTTCATTTATATGGCTGGTGACTTCAACTGCGTGTCGACGACTTGGGATGACTATGAGCATGGCGAGTCGACGGCAATATCACTGTAGGATACCGCATCTCAGATCGGCCTCGAGTGGGCACGACCTTCTAACCATGGACCAACGCGGATCAGTCCTAATCCAAACCAGAGATCCAACGTGTTGGATCTTGTATTCTTAGCTCCATCTGAGATTCTAATCTCGATGCCCAGATTGGAGCACGATCTCCAGGGTCTGTCAGATCATGTCCTGATCTGCACAGATCTTGATATCGGTCCCGAACCGCCCGGATCTGGGCAACAGACTAAAATATAGAGGCTGAGAAGTATTTCGGATATTCTCCGGGATCTTGCGGCTATTCCTGTCGCAGCCCCGGCAACCAAGGAAGGTGTTGAAGCTTTAGCTGATGCTATCGCGACAGCGTTCTCGGACGCATGGCTTGCCCATTCGACTGAGTCCAAACCTACCAAGCACTCCAAGTCCTGGTGGAC